TCTATGCCTAAGCTTCAGCAGATGAGGTGGTTTTGACTTAAATGTGTACAACATAAATTGTGTTCGTGTACCGTAAAATCAAACAAAACAATCTATAATACCGTAATATAATAATTATGCAAACGTCCAAAATTATATGTTAGTAATACATAGCAATATGATGACAATGATAATAAAATACAGTAAAACAAACACATTAATCTAGAATATATAATGTCAAAGGACAAAAATATGATAAGGACAAAAATATGATAAGATCAACAAGGAAGGAAGGCGTTCAATGAACGCAACACATACTTTTATTTGCTCACCTGAGTACAACTATTTCAAAGAAGAATACCCTCGTTCATCAAATGTTAAATATTTTCGCACAGTACATTATTTACTGTTTTAGTTTAGTACAAATGTTAATGCACTATCCAAGAATGACGTGTTTATCATCGAAATATTGTTTTTTACTTTTATTATTAAAACTCATATTATTTTCTATGTTGTTAAGCAGACCATAACAAAGTAAAGTATTTTACGTGGTCAACCCATATGTGTCACTTTTATCCAGGTTAACCGCCACTGAGATTAATGGGGAAAAATATTTAAACAAGAGCTGTCACTGAAAAGTGACTTATGCGAAAGGAAGCTTTGACCAAAAATCCGCAATACATGCCAAAAAATACCGGTAACATATGCACGACCGCCTTTGATAAATATCATTCCTAAAATTCAATTGAAATTCCATTAGAAGTGAAGGAGAAAATAGTCTAAACAAATTATAAAAAAACTTTGCGAAAGAAATTTGCACAATGCACAACTAGACTTGGAAAATCATGACACCATGCAAACAAATTTAACAATGTTTACTGAAATTTCCCAAATGGTTTTGGAGATGAGCAATGGACAAAGTTAATTAACTGAAAAATCAAGAGATATTGTGCTCCTCTTAATTCCAATACTTAACGCTTTGAAACCAGAAAGAAAACAACAAATGAGACTTATGGTAAGCTATAACATAAAGGTATTTTCTGCAGTATTGCACAAGGAAACAACAATATATTCAGTCAAAGTCAATTTGAATGGACCAAACGTAGACCATATGTCGGCAATTTTGAAAACATTATGTCATCATTTGAACCACGGTAATGTTGTCACATTTCATTTTTAGCTCACCAGAGCCGAAGGCTCAGGGTGAGCTATTAGTATCAAAGGGGGATACTCCGGCGTCCGTCGTCATGCGTCAACAATCGTCTTCTTCTCTGTAACTGCAGGGCAGATTTAATTCAAATTTGGTCTGTAGTATGCTTGTGAGTCACACTTGAATTTGCTAATGTCATTTCAATTGGTCACTTTTAGGGGCCAACAGAGCTAAAAATAGAAAAAACCTTTAAACATCTTCTACTACAGAACTAATTGATGGATGATCACCAAACTTTGTCTGTAGCATTCTTGGGTAGTCTTTTATCAAGTTTGCTCAAATTAATTTGATTGGCCCCTTTTAGGGGTCTCTAGGGCTAAAAATAGAAAAACCTTTAAACATCTTCTTCTACAGAACTAATGGATGGATGATCACCAAACTTTGTCTCTATCATTCTTGGTAGTATTTTATCAAGTTTGCTCATATTAATTTGATTGGCCCCCTTTAGGGGCCGCTAAAGCTAAAAATAGAAATACCTTATAACATCTATATCTAGAGAACTAATTGATGGATGATCACCAAACTTTGTCTTGGGTAGTCTTTTATCAAATTTGCTTATATTAATTTGATTGGCCCCTTTTAAGGGTCTCTAGGGCTAAAAATAGAAAAACCTTTAAACGTCTTTTTATACAGAACTAATTGATGGATGATCACCAAACTTTGTCTGTGGCATTGTTGGGTAGTCTTATATCAAGTTTGCTCAGATTATTGTGATTGGCCCCTTTTAGGGGCAGCTAAAGCTAAAAATAGAAAAACCTTTAAACGCCTATTTCTACAGAAGTAATTGATGGATGATCACCAAAATTTGTCTGTAGCATTCTTGGGTAGTCTTTTATCAAATTTGCTCATATTATTTTTTTCATTAGCCCCTTTTAGGGGTCTCTAGAGCTAAAAATAGAAAAACCTTTTAACGTCTTCTTCTATAGAACTTATTGATGAAGGATCACCAAATTTTGTCTGTAGCATTCTTGGGTAGTCTTTTATCAAGTTTGATCATATTAATTTGATTGGCCCCTTTTAGGGGCCGCTAAAGCTAATCGTCTATTTCTACAGGACTAATTGATGGATGATCACCAAACTTTGTCTGTAGCATTCTTAGGTACTTTTTTTTATCAAATTAGCTCATATTAATTTGATTGGCCCCTTTAAGGAGCCACTAAAGCCAAAAATAGAAAAACCTTTCAACGACATTTCCTACTGAAATAATTGATAGATGATCATCAAACTTTGTAGCATTATTAGGTAGTCTTTTATCAAGTTTGCTCATATTAATTTGATGGCGCCGTTTAAGCTAAAGCTTAAATACCCCAGGTCATGGCATTTCTTCAAATTATTGTTTAAACATATTCTCTGCTCAAATTAAATATCAGAAAATATTGACAATGGATATTTCCAACACTGAAAAGCAGTTGTTTCTGGTGAGCGACTCAGGGACATCATGGCCCTCTTGTTTTCATGGTTCGGTTAAAATTTCTACATGTTATTGTGCTTGATTTTAAATTATCCCTACTTTGTAACTCAACATTTATTTTTTCAACAAACAAGAACATTAAGAAAATGATGATTGTTTCAGACATATGCACAAATTTGATGGACTATTATTGCTTTTTGCAGAAATTTGTAAAATGTTGTTCTGTTTTACGTAAAAATCTATGGATTTAAAATATTTTGCACAAAAACTTTGTTGTATAGGTATATGAATAAAATATGTAAATTCTGATAAATTTTAACTCTGTTCACATGAAAATATGCCATTACCGTAAAATGAGTGATGACGCGGAATTAGTGATGTTGAGTATACTATCCACGATTAGGTTTTCTTGCAATCCTTTGAAGTTTTAGTGAAATCCCACCAGCGGTTTTGGAGATGTAGCGTGGACAAACATAATTTACTTGATAATAAACTATTAAGGGGCCATAATTGTGCAAAAAAATCAAGCAGAATATCAAAAGGGTGTGCACCGCTAAGCTTGGTAACGAACAATCCTGTTAAGTTTCACTGAAATTCCCCATCGGTTTTGGTGATTTAACTCGAAAATTTACCATTAAGAGGCCATAAATGTGCCATAGTGGCATAGTGACAAACAATTATGTAAAGTTTCATAGAAATTTCTTTAGCGGTTTTGGAGATCAAGCGCAGACAAGCTTATTTTACACAAAAATTGACCATTAAGGGGCCATAACTATGCCAAAAAGAAATTCAAGCGGAAAATCAAGAAATTTTGAAAAACTATGCTTGGTGACAAACAATGTTGTGAAGTTTCACTGAAATTCCCACATCGGTTTTGGTGATGAAGCGCGTACAAGATTATCGGAATGACGGAAGGACGGACAATGCGGGGCATAAAAAGGACAATTTTGTGTCGCCTCTACGGAGTAGTGGCGACATATAGGGATCACTTCTCCGTCGTCTGTCTGTCCTTCCGTCTGTCCGTCCGTCACAAAACTTGTCCGGACTACTCCTCATAAACTACTGGTGCAATTTCATCCTAACTTTACAGGAATGATCAGTACCAAGTCTAGTTGTGCATATTGTCAGCATTTTCCGGTTCAATGATTTTTGTCAGAGTTATGGCCCTTTAATAATTTTTATTTTTAAAGTTTATTCAGACAACTTCTCTTATACCACTAATGCAATTTCAATGAAACTTTACAGGATTGATCTGTATCTCAAATCCTTGCGCATATTGCACGGGTTTTCCTGTTGAATGATTTTTGGGCCGAGTTATGGCCCTTTGATAAAAAGGTGTTTTTTTCTGTGTTGCCAGATACACAAAAGCTTGTCCGGACTTCCCCTCATAAACTACTGGTGCAATTTTATCCAAACTTTACAGGAATGATCAGTACCAAGTGTAGTTGTGCACTGTCCGTCTGTCACAAAACTTGTCCCAACATGAAACTGATCGCTCTTGTTTTAAATCTGTGTTATAAGAATAAATGAATTATAGATAAATAAAGAGGCCAAGGTTCAATTTTAAGTAAACTTTTGTAGAGGTTTACTCAGCAAAGCTACATGCCACATATCGAAGCTCAGACAATAAGACTTTTAAGTGTTTTCCTAAATAAGCCTTAATGTTTTAAGTAACCCTTTGGGCGGGGCAAATATTAAAACAAAGGATGTAATTAATATTACTAGTACTTCAGAAAATGAACAAAAGGCAATGCTTCATGTCAAATACTAGTACCTCAGCTCTGGGAATTGTTGTAAAACACAATAAGACTTCCTATATAAGATTATCTAAAAGTGTACCCTAGGGTGGGACCAATATCGACCAAAGGGTAATGATTAATATCAGTTTTGTTTAGGTTTACACATCAATACTACAGGCAAAATATTTAAGCTCTATTATTGTACATTGTAATTTGAGATAATAAGCCTCCCATATGGGTCATAATAAATACTACCTGGGCGGGGCCAATATTGATTCAAGAGACATTAATATCAGATTTCTTGAGGTCCACAAGACAATGCGTAATGCCTTAGACATTGTTGTTCAAACAATTATTGTTTTACTATAAAGTAAATATAGTGTGTGTTAGCTATCGACAACTCTTGATAATAATAATGTTGATATTGGCCCCAAGGACATAAATAGTGAAATATTAGTTTAAGCTACAGATTGCTAAGTAGAAACATAAATAAAACTTTCTTGTGTTTAATCTATTTAACATAAATCCAAATTTTCCTGACGAAAATACTAAGTTTCCATTCATGTTTTAAAATTGAATATTATTGAAATTTAACAGTTTTGGTACAGAACAGTATTGGTTAAATGTCTGACTCAAAATAAAAGTAATACATGCCTTTTTCCCCTGTCACATAATTCATAATCTATTAATTGTCTATATATGTTCATTTAATATAACCGAGTACTTTTTATTTCAAGTTTGTTGTTGTTTTAAACTGAAACAAGTAATTTCCATACTGTGTTGTGTCGTCAAAGGTAACCACATAATTGTCTGAGTTTTTTACAAATGCTTTAAAGTTTTCAAATTCTGTTTCTGGATTTATATCACAACCTCTCACATCTACTGACACTGTATCTGGTAGTTTTGTTATATCAGTAATGAGATCATGTAACACTGAACAAGACATTTTTATCCTATACATGTTAATGTACTCAATATTGATCATTTTAGGTGACAGTGTTAAAGATCTGTCACCTAGATTGATTCCTAACAATCTAACATGTTTCACATGAAGCAACAATGGTAATGTTTGTAACATTGTTTCTATATCACTGGAAGACTCTAGGAAATTACACGTAAATGTATGTAGTTTACTGGCTGCTGGTAGTTGACTAAGAAAAGATGACACAACACCAGGTTTATATAAGTTACCTATAGTACATTTCTCTAATAACGATGCATTCATGTTTAATTTTGACACAGGGATCTGATGCAATCCCAAACCTCTTAAATGTGAATGTTGAGACAGGTCTATGTTGAATCCTTTACACGAAGTGTCATGGTCACTGCAGTATAAACTGCACAATTGTACATCCTTCAATGATATTTTACTGGTAAGGAAATTTAATAATGTCTCCATTGCTCCATGAGCCATAGTAAAACCGTCTATGTGTAAACACTCAAGGTGTTGTAATGTTACCATTCGTCCAATTATCTCTTCAGACATCGGGCAACGTTCAACTTGGAATTTCTTATTTTCCCATTTACTTGATATCACACATAAACATCTTAAAGGGTTCAATAACAAGCGAATTATTTCATCTTCTACTAGTTTACCTCTATAGAATAATTTCTGTATATTTGGAAGGTCAGAGAGTGTAAACAAACTGATAATATCTTGCAGACTGCAAATATCATTATTTTTTATCATTATTGACTTTATGTTCTCTTTGTTTTGGTAACATAGATGTTGTAATTGTTTAAAGTAATTTTTTTGTTGACATTTTTCTTTGATTAAGAAATCCTGTAAACACAATTTGAGGTCTTTGTTTTTCTTATTTTCTTTGAAACATGACATGTACATATCTTGTATGTCTTGTAATGAATCAAAGTACCTGTAATAATTATATGTCATTGTTCTGTATTTCCTTGTTTTTTCATCATTGTTTATCACAGGCATAAAATCGCATGATAGTTCAGACATTAGTTTAGGGTTCATGTTGCTAATAAAGACAAATACTTTTGACATATTAAGAATTTTTTGTAAACTGTTGCACTCTCCAAAGATGATTTTCTTAACCTCAATTGTATTACTAAAACTTATAAATATTGCTGAAAAGTATTCTTGTACTGTTTTATGGGAAAATGAGATTGTGGAACTTTCACTTACTAATGTTTTCACTTTATTTTCTGTTAACATTCCTGAGCGAAGGCTTAAATCTAGATCTCCTGGGTCAAGATATTTTTCAGCAACATTTTTATTAAATACCAGTGTGTGTTCCTTTTCCTCATTGAACAGTTTATAAAAAGCGAGTTTCCCAAGGGTTGCAAGAAACGCGTAGTAACTATAGCAATGCCTATGTTTGATAAAACATTCGGGAACATTACTCAAAGATATTTTACAAGATAATTGAAATTTTCCATGTATCTTTTCTGTTCTTGATAGAAGAAGCTGAATAATACTTGCATATAGTTCTGCTGTCGAATTTCCTATTGGAATATCTTCTATCCATAAACATATCAGATAGAGTAGAAGAAGAGGGGTGGATTCCATATCTTTAAGTTCATGGTCATTGATTTTTTCTTCAAATCTACATACTTCATTTAGCAATTTATCATTGTCAAGGTCGGCTTTCAATATTTTAAATGCGTTAAGCTTAAACTTCCTTTCATTATCTTCATTTAGTTTAACCAGTTCTACTGTTTTGTCGATTTGGCTTGCTTTCAAGTTTGAGACTCCGAGCTTCCAAGGCCGGGTCGTTGTTAAGATTACACATTTCTCACGTGCATATCGATGCGGAATATCTTTTATAAGTCTTGTACACTTATTGTCAGGATGAGACCATTCATCAAGTCCATCTAATATAACAAGACAGGTTTCATAACGTAAAATGTCTTTCAAGAGATCTTTCGGCAATGAATCTGACGATGAACAAGGAAGACTTTTTATAACTTGTTGATCAATCATTTCGTCGACATCGCAGAACTTACCTGAATCTCGCAATAGAACAAGAAACAAAAAGTCAAAGCCAGATAACGCCTTTATCTCTTTTTCTTTAAAATGTTTATAATTTTCATCCGTTTTTTGAGCTTGACACCACGTTAAAGCGAGATATTTTGAAAAAGCTGTTTTCCCAAATCCTGCAACCGCTGATAGATATACTTCCCGTGGAATATTTCTACCGGGAGTAAGCAGATCGTGTAACGACTCAACTCGTGTTGTTTCTTTCCTTCCGCCAGGTAGATTCGTTTGTTTTACAATTTCCGGCATAATGTAGAAACCAGCAAGAGGGGTACCGAAATCACCTGTAAGTGGTGAAAGAGGAACTGTACTGTGATTGGTGTTGTACCATGTAATAAGTTCATTTTTTACTTCTGAAATAGAAATAAAAATCATATCATTGATAATATACTAAGTCAAATTGTAGTTTTTTTTCATGAAAAGTAGACTTTTTGAAAGGCACTTGACTTTCTGGCACTCCATATGTAACGGGTTAGCTATAAGAGAGACAGATAGAAAAATGATCATTTTTACACGATCCAAACGAGTTGCTAAACAACATGCCATGAGGGTTCAAAAATGGCACATAATTTAAATTCGGATTCTCTTGTTTAACGGTATGCGAGCAGCCTAAAATTCCTCCAAATAACAGTGATCACTTTATTTGCGGTAAATATTTTTATAAAAATTGTCAGGAAACCCAGCAAGAAAAACGTTATATTAAGACTAGAAATGTGTCGTTTATTAAGACTACAAATGTGTCCATAGAACACAGATATATGCCATATGTAATTTCACTTCAAAGTACAACCTTGACCTGGGTACCCTTGACCCATGTGAAGACATCCGTGAAATGGCATGACAATTCATTAATTGTCACATTAGCTTTGACCTTTACACATGCGTGGAACCTTGGCATTTAAGGTTAAAAAACTGATCTTGCGCGCACTAAGTGATTACTGAGCGGTTACTGCAAATACCCCAAGGCTTATAAAAATTGATCAGACGATCGGAAAAGCTTGTCTCTTAATAATAAACATAAAGGTTTGATGTAGTCAATAAGTAATATGGTTCTCTTTAAATTGGAAAAGGATAGAATGAACACATTTCTGTCAAATGTTATGCAAATATAATGCAGTCAAGGTGTAAGTAAATTATATAGGGATATGATTTCTACCTACAAAAAGTGTACATTATCTTGATACTTGTATGAAGCATGGAAAATATGCTGTGTTCTGAACCAAGGTTCAGTTGTATTTTACTGAACATTGATCATGATTTACATATGTAAGAAGATACTGTAACTACAATGTACATGCATAGTATTTACTTACTTTCTTTGAACTCTTCATATTTCGATTCTGGCCCTGCTATGGCATCTGTATTAAGACGGAAGAATACATATATATATATATTGAACTAAATTTCTGCAATAAGTTGTTAATTTTCGTTATCCTTAATAAAACATTGCTATAACAAATGAAATGTCTTGTGACTATTAAAAGAGACAAATTAAAATCGAAAGTAACTTAGTTTAGAGTTATTATGATCATTTCAAAACAAAATCTTGTACCTATGATATTTATCATTATAAAAAGTCACATGATAAAATAATGATGAAATTTAAAGACAAAATCAGTTAAGATAATAATTTACTTGACAGCAACAGACATGACAGACGCGACTTACGTTTATCAGTGTCTACCATTTTCTTTAATTCTTGTATTTGTTTAGCATTTTCACTCGTCTTCTTGTTTAATTCGTCGACCTTTCCTACATACTTTTTCACGGTTTGATCTTGCATTTTAACAGAATATTTAATCTTCTCGCTCTCCTTTTTTATTATTTTTAAATCAGTTTCAATCCCCGTCTCTATTTTTTTCCAACTGTCTATGGCCTCCTGTACCCTTGTCTCTGCCTCTGGATCAAGTGGATTCACTTTGAAGTCATCAATCATTTGTTGTAAATGTGGTATGGGGGTGACCGCCGAGTTCAGCCTCAAAAGAACCTGAAAAAAGAGATAGTTCATGCCATCAGTTGCGTCATGATTTCATGTATAATAGCACACACATATAAAAACAATAAATAATACATTTCATAGGTGGGAATGCACTGCAGGTATACTTGAAGATTTGTAATCATTATAATCATCCGTGTTAATTGTAAGTGTTAATATAGTTTCTGTTATGCTATGTCCGTTATGGTCTGGCATGCCAAGTTCTTTGCTATACGCTCTTTGTACTTTGATATTTATTCATTTTGTGATGTGATGCCATGTTATGCTGTGCTATGCAATACTATGCTACGCTGTATGGTGCCCGAAAGCATCCATTTTAAAGCCGCGAGAATATTTTCCGTCAGTTAATAACATGTCGCTGGCAACTTTTAAATACGCGAGATTTTATGTCGTCGAATTGTATAAAATGTCGCGGCTTATAGAAATTCTCGAGTTTTTCTGTCACACGTCTGTCACACGTCTGCTGTAAAAATCCGAAGGAAACCGCGACATTTTCTGTCTACATAGTAGATTAAGCCACGCAAACATATACCTACGTTAGGAAGACGATTGCGGCCATTATAATCCGCGGTATTTTGTTTTGATACATACCTTGTAAAAAGTAGAGTTTGAGCATTCAGCCTCGACTTTTTGAGCCGGGAAATGTCTGCGCAGAACATCGCGGCTAAAATGTCGCGGATTTCTTTCAAAAAGCCGCGACTTTTTTTTGAAGGAACAAAAAGTCGCGGCCTATATTTTTTCCCCTCGACTTTTTGTAGAATTTCTACAACATTTGCAAAAATGTCGCGGATTTCTTTCTGTTCCTCACTTGTTTAAAGACAAACGAGGGATAAAATATAAAGTATACAATATAGAGTCAAACCATGGACGCCACCGGCCACTGAAGTCAAAATGTTCCTTGCTGTTTCCAACAACTGTTATAAATTATCGAGGTTTATACGTTCCCCGTGCGTGACATTTTGTATGATTTTGGCAGAAAATCTCGCGGAAAAGTATTTTGAAATTTTATGATAACACGATAAAATTCTCGGTGTTTGAAATGGTGCAATCGGTCACCATAATGCATGTAATGCTCTGTAACATTAAAGACCCTGTGTGTGCAATCCGATTAAAAGAACAAGTACATTGAAACTTGATATTGATCTGAATAAAAAGGGTCAGTCTAACCTGCTCGATCTCAGTCCACTTTGTTGCGAAGACATTCAGCGTTATTCCACTTGTTGAAGATATGTGACTGAGCTAAAGTAAGAGAATGTACACGCAATATATATTATATCCAATGATAAAGGAAAACAAGAAATAGAAAGTCATATGTTAGTTTACTGCAATCATGGCTAAATCTCAAATAACGAAGCCAGTCTTTAAAACATCACATCTTATGGGAAATATACGTAGTTTAATATAATGTATTAAAGGAAAACGTTTCAGATATAAGACCTCATTTCTTTTAAAATCTCATCAAATTACATTGTATACGTAATAATTTTATTTCTCATTTACCTCGTTCCTGTATATTTTCAAACGTGACATATCAGCCTCAACAGAAAAATCATAATTTGCAGGAACTGAGTTCCATTGAAAGTTCTTGTTTAGCCCGAAGAACTTGATGTTCCTAAGAAGACACGTGATCAATGTGATGTCTAGGTCTGTGGTTGTGGGACCGCTACCACCTGGTGGATACAATAGATCATATTGCACCTGTGAAATTGTTCCGCGTGTCCTTAAGTTTGTAATAGTTTGTCTTTCATTATTCAAAAATGCAACAAAAGAGACATTTTTAAGCTTTTGATTGAAAATATTCCGAAGTGTTTGAAGACCTCCGTCAATAATCAGCATTTGTAAACGGAAAAGACGGCAACGACTCTGCTGCACCTTTGACGATGGTGTTTGACCTTGACTTGCAGTTGCCATTTGTTATCAAGTCATCACTTTTATCTGTAACACAATGAACAAAATGAGTTGATGAATTAAGAAACGAAATTAAAATTATAAAATAATTATAACTAGCATCAAATCCGTTCATAATTAAAAAAATATGATAAACAATATCAATAAGGAAATTATAGTAAACAATTATTGAATGATGATGGGGTGTATATCCAAGTCTATGGACCTGGCTAATTAAATAAGGTCGAGGTCCATGGACTTTGATATTCACCGATATCTATATACAATGGCTGTTTCATTATATGTGTGATGTCCTATAGACTAATGTTATAATGTATGTGAGACCACCATAGTATATATGTATGTTGTATGTAATATGAGACCGGAACTTCCTTAAAAACATGGAGCCTTAGTAAACACGATTCAAACAGATACATAGTTGTTATCAATATGATCAAATTATAATGTTTCTTTTGGTAATTTACCAATAGTTTCTGAATTTCAAGCAACTAAACAAGCGGACGAAGTCATTTTATATTGTGTATAACACGCTCCTCTTTGATCAATGTAGTTACTTTTCTTACTATGATTTACACGCAACAAAGTAGCTTGTAAATTTGAGAAATGTAAAAAAATTAGATTCAACGTTTCTAATTCAAAGTCAGCATTAACGACAATGTCAGAACTTTCAAGAAAGCTTGAAAATGTTTTTTTCATAAAAAGCCACTGGTTATCGAGATCAAAGCGAAATAGATAAACACCAAATGAAAGGCTTATTATACCCCAGAAATGTTTTTATTTGTACTTCTCAGAAGCTTTTTATTTTATTTTGTTTTATAATTATTTTTTGGCAGTTATTGGCCAATTATCTGAACCATCTTTTTCTTCTGTTGCTTTTTGGCAATTGATACATTTAAAGGGATTTAGTATTTTGCATATCAGTCAAAATACTACTTTGTTAACATTTTACTTCTTTTATAACTCATAATTTCACAATTAGCGATACATTCTTCATATCAAAAACATTTAACATGCACTTAAACCATGATTTTAAATTCATTTTATCCCATTTTGAAAGTAATAATTTATTTATTTCTGAGGTATAATTTGCCTTAAAGACAGTTTAATAGAACATTTATACTCGTATATTTTGACATTTTTGCCCATTTTCAAATAATATACATGAGTAACATGTTTGAAACAAGTATTAACATCAAACCTGGCATATATCTTTTGGCGAAAATTTATTTTTCCAACGACAAGCTTCGTTTAGATTGCACGAACTCCTTGCACAGTTTGTCGTAACTTTTATTAAAACAAAATCCTCAATATAAATTAACTGGGAACTTTATTATTTAGATAATTTTAAACAATGACTCAAATTTACAGTTAACAATGGAAGTTGTGAATCCTTTATTTTAACCAAATGTAGCACCTTACCATATAACTACATATTTTTTTTACAAAAAGGCAATCCTTGGTCGTATTGAAACATGTATACAGTATACCTTAAAAATATGTTTATATGTCTAAAAAGAATTTTGTGATATCTTCTTTTGAATATTAAAATCAAACAAAAGGCTATTGTCATTTGAGGTATTTCTTAAATGCAGTCTTGTTCTAGTGTGATAGTATCAAACCACGAGACAGTTTGTACAATGAAAAATGATTTAACTTTTGTACATTTATGAAACTATGCCAGTGAAGTAAAGTAAAGATCAAAATGCATGCATATCTAAACCACAAAATAAAAAATTTTCAATGTTTTTTTTATATCTAGTTTGATTTAACTTATTTACATGATAAGGATATATATCAGTAATGAGCCATCAAGAGCAAAGAAGATACTCCTAAACTCGACAAATGTGTGTGTTTTTGCTTTTTTTGTTGCAGTTTTTGCCGTCTAATCCCGGGATGCATTTTTTAAAAGAGTACATTTATTTACAAAACGTATTAAAAAAGAACTTTGATTCCGGTTAAGGTTCCGCTGAAAAAAATCAAAGGTTTTATTCTCATAACACCAGGAGGTCATAGACCAATGTGGCCGACATTTACATACTATATATGACTAAAGCAAGTTAACATTAAATAAAACATGTTGTATTTAAATCTAAGCATTGAAGTATCATAATAACATTTTCTTAAAGCCCTAACATCTTGAAAAATAAGCTTGAAAAAGCATTGCTTTTAATTTGTAAATTTCGTTTGTTCGTAATGTAAATGCTTTTTTAATTTTCTTATGACCTGCTTACATTTTGTAGTGATCAAATAAATATATTTATACATATTTAATCGCCTATGGTACAATTCTCTTTCTCAGATCGTTAGATAAAAGACGTTCTATTGCACGAAGTATTTCAAAATTTGTATATCACAAATTTGGTTTTGACATTTTTTGATTTATAAAGATATTGATTGTATACATTCAAATATTCATTATACAATGTCAGATGAACTTACATGACACCAACAAAAATACTGTTAATGAATGAATTAAGTTATTTAAGTCTTTGTTGAATCTAAGGACAATTGTTTTACAACAAATGATATATGATAATGATTAGATCTAAATACAGAATAAAGTGCGTCAATGAATGATGTAAAGCGGATCCTTTTCATTATGTGGCCGTTAGCTGAGAATTTCTTTTGTCACGAAAAAAGCACGGTTTTAAAAGCGACATACCGGTTATAACAGCCCTTATCTATTTTATTTTACACGGATCTTTCTGTATAAGGAAAATGTAACAAAATAAATGCTATCGAATAGTTATCAAACAACACAGCTTTAAATGATTACTGTACACATGTATGCATTTATATTGAATGTTCTCAATCTAACTGACCTTTTACTAGTATAGTCGGCGTGTTGCCCATTTTTACTGCACATATTTAAACTACAAAATTTAGGTAAAAATAGTATGAATATAGTTACATAAAAAAATTGCCAGTTTTTAGCACGACTTTTTATGAAGAAAAAAAAGGTATTGTTACAGTTATGTCAGCGTTGCCGTCCGTTGACGATTACTTTTTCAGTTCTTGTATTTTCTTCATACTTGTCTACGACAACCCTTGGAACAAGACCTTCAAGTAGACCAGACTAAACATGACGTTCTTTCATAAATGACAATGACCTTTGAAGGTCGAATGTCTTAATTTTGCTTGACTTTTGTAAGTGGCTATAACATTGTTATTTTAAATGAATATCTTCGATGTTGATCACAACAACCCTTAAGGAAAGACCTTCAAGTTAACTAGACAGACTATGATCTTAACATTGAAGGTCAAAATTATTAACATTTTCTATTTTTGCTTTTTACTGGCTAAAAGACTTTCAAATTGACCTTTGCTCGTTTATGGCATTGACCTTGAAGGTTAAAGTATTGAATGTTCTCTTATTTTTTGCTATAATTGACAGTTACTCGGTAATTAATAAATAGATTATCTTCACAAGACCTTTTGTAATATTGAACTGGTCTTGACCTTTAAATGACATTGACTATTGGTTAAATAGTCATAATTTTGTTATTTAAGCACGGATTTGATTCATACATGGACAAAACAAGACTTGCTACCGAACGAACATATTGAATAATTTAAAAGTGACCTTGACCTTTTATTGACATTGACTGTCAACGTCAAATTAATGGAATTCTTCATGTTTTTTTCCATGTTACTGGCTCTAACTTTGTTTTGATTAATGGATTGACTTCATGTTTAGACACAACATCTTTAAGGTCAAGGACCTTTATATTGTGTAACTCAAATTGACATTGACCCATATAGATTTGCCTTGAAGGTCAAATTATTGAATTTTGATAATTGCTTTAATTGGCTGTAACTTGGTAATCAATGGATAATTTTCATACTTAGACAAAACAACCTTTCGGTCAAGACCTTCTAAAAAGTTGAACTTACCTTGACCTTTAGATGATCTTGACCGTCAACGTAAAAGTATTGAATTTGGTAAAGTTGTCATTATTTTGTTATTTATTTACTGATTTCATTCATACGTGTACAAAACAATACTTTTTGTAATTTTATATGTTATTGTATACATATACTAAGTCAGAGAAACATGAAATTACCTTTCAAGTCATTTAAATGACAATCACCTCTAGCCGACATCTGCGTGAGACCGATTTTGCTCCCGGATTTGTTAACAGGAAGACACTAGAGCAAAGTTTGCAGAATATTTTTCAAGATGGTAAGGGTATTTAGAGGTGACACGAAATCGTCGAACAATTGGCTCTCGGATATTTAACTTTCAAGTCAAACATAACCTCGGGTAGCTAAAGGTTTTGCATATTGCCTAGTCCAGAATGTACTTTGAGCAACATTTGAATAAAAGACAACAATATATGGTATTTTATACTAGTGATCCCTTACTCTCATTGGAAACGTTCGCGATGTGAATGTGCATAAACAAATTTGATATTTATTTACCTGTACATATAGAAAAGTCCAAATCTAATATCATATTAAAACATTTTTATAAATTTCGCACTAGAACATGTTTTCCTGTGTAAAAGCACTTGATAGTTAAAGATATAACAATTAGCTTTAGACGAATATTGCAGTTAATAGCAAAAACAAATGTTAGATACTCGTAACTATTGTTATTCTTTAACTGTTGTAAAATTGATACAAGTAATCGTTATAACCCAGATTGATTCTTTTTAATTTTTACATTGACGACACAAAATGTCGCTTAGTGTTCATTGGTTGGCAGATTAACATATGGAAAAAAGTTGTTTGACAATGTTGGCTTGATAAATTTAAATATTCAGTGTCATTTAGTAGGAATTTCCGGATAGAACACGAATATTAATAGGGTATTAGACACAATATATTTACGAATGATATGAGAACACAATGGCACACAAATTCCGTCGTTTTATTAAAGAAGGAAACATGTTATCTATCTTTAGTGGAAACTATCAAGGAAGAAACGTTGTACCACGATAGCGCGGATGAAGGTAGTCTAGTACTGGTGTAACTTTCCAGAAACGATGGTTAGGAAACTACCCGCCTATATGACTGAAATGCTTTTGGCAAAAGGCGTAAAATGAAACAAACAAACCACAATACTCAGTCAATAAAAGCAGTTAACATCTATTTTTGTCTATACTAAGATTGTTATTGTATTGCTTTTTAAAACAGTAAATCCAAAACGTGGTCTGTGTGAATAACAGATCCACTGAAATCATTTTTTCTATTGTTTAATTTGTTAAGCAATTTTTACAATTTTGATTAACAAAATGACATTACAATACAATTACATTACATTAAAGACGGGTTTTATCAAGGGATTTAAAATGATGTGTCGTATGTGGTGGCAGAGAAGGAATGTGTATGTTTTTTATGTTTTCGTCGTTGCTCATGTTGCTGGGTCATATGGGGGTTGCGTTCATTGAACGCCGCCTTTAATTCCTTGTTGATCTTGTTTATCATATTTATGCTTGTAATATCTACCCTTTTGACTCAAATGTCTTTATCTTAAATGGTATTTCCCCCAGCGAACCGACAAATACATTTTTACTTGCATTCTTTGTTTCGTTTATTTGTTTGTTGCATTTTACGCCTTTTACCAACAGTATTTCAGTCATATAGGCGGGTAGTTTCCTAACCATCGTTCCTGGAGAGTTACACCAGTACTTGACTACCTTCCTCCGCGCTAAACTACTAAAGCATCTCCCGGGGATCGAACCCACGCCAGAGATGTAACTGGATTAGAAATCATCGACTCTAACCCCTCGACCACGGTTGCGGTTTTCTTGCATTCAATCTAAACATTATTTCTCCACAGTAAAGATTTATCTCACCTACTTCTTTGGTGATTTGCTTTCTACTCCTTAAGTTGTTCCTTCGCTGAATACAACAATTGACCATATTCAATGAACGCAACCACGAAACGACCTAGCAACAAGAGCCAGTGGCAATGAGCCCAATAGGACCCAGAACAAAAACAGGACAGGGCGCAAGGCAGCGCAGGGACAGGTCAACCACCAAAATGATACACAACGAAATAATAGTAACCAACAAGGAAATAAATGAAACCATACAAATGATTGATTAATAGACACACAAAGCAAAAGGGCACACATGACAGGAGACCCAGGGAAGGCGGAGGGGGGGGGGACTAAAGAAGGAAAACCAGGGGCAAAAGGGAAGATACTTACCGTAGACTAGAAAACAACAAGGAACACAATAAATACTGGAACCACCAAAGTTGAAAAAGGCCGAATATTTGAAACTCAAATGTTTACACGACAATAATGTCGTGCTGAACGATCTTTAAGGATCGAAAATATAACATATTCCATTAAATGTACGGGAAGACATTTAACAGTCGCCACACGGCACAAATAACACTTATGCTTCAATAAAATAAAAAAAAAATCAGAAACCCTAAAGAAAGCTCAGCACAGCTAAATTGAAAATGATGCCGTATGAACACATCTGCGGATTTTTCTAAATTCAAAATTTCACAATTTTCTTGGTTAAATGTTGAAGTCTGCTTAAGCCGGTGCTAGGAGGTGTGGACTGTAGTTTGCACTTGACAGAACCGTCCAAGAACAGGCTCAATCAAACAGAGCCTGCAACATTTTCAATTTAGTCGCGTTGGGCTTTGTTTAGGGATTCTTATTTTGCTCTATTCACTCCCAGCTATAGAATCTTTTTATAGAAAAATTTCTGAGGTGGTTTTGAGCTCTGGTGTTGCTTTAAAATACTAACAGCCGATAATTTATCTTTCCTGTTTCGGCGCCTAAATGACCTAAATTGTGTTGCTGCGCCGTTAAACTAAACGAAATCAAAACAATATAAAGAGATATATGATAAACAAGGAAGGGAGGCGTTCAGTGAACGCAACCGCCGACGATACAGCCACACATGATCACCGGCAAGGAGCCCAATAGGACTCAAATTATAACAGGACAGGGCAGCAAAGATGGGTTGATTACTATATTAAAATATAATAGAAATCAATAGAAACTGACAATGAAATAAATTACAATGAAAAACACAACCCCTAAGGAAATAGAGACAAATAAAGAATCCCTAAAGAAAGTCAAACAAGACAAAATTGAAAATGTTGCAGGCTCGGTTTGATTGAGCCTGTTCATTGACGGTAATGTACAGTGCATTACCGTCCACGCCCACTACACCGGCTGAAGCAGAATTCAACAACTAACATGAACTGGAACAATTTTGAAATAGAGTGAAATAAGAATCCCTTAAGAAAGCCCAACGGGGCAAAATTGAAAATGTTGCTGGCTCGGTTTGATTGAGCCTGTCCATGGACGGTACTGTCAAGTGTAAACTGCCGTCCACGCCCCCTATCACCGGCTTAGGCAGAAATCAACATTTGACATGAACTGGTAAAATTTAGAATTTTGAAACATCCGCAGATGTGTTCATATGGCGTTTATCAAAGAAACTTCAATTTGACACGTTCACGCCATTCCATGAAAAGCGGCATATAAAAGCCTAAAAAATCTGGTAAGAAATCTACAATTCCGGTTTGTATCACCAAAAAGTGCATATCAATATATGTTGTATTTCAAATGAATACATTGTAACATTCAAATAATCGATATTTCTAAAGAAAGAAATGTTTTTGAAAAATAAACCATTATATCTAAATGATGATTCAAAACTCATTTGTTTAATTTGCAAGTTTCTACACAGAGATTGAAAAAACACTTACAAAAGTGATTAATAAAGTAAAATAATCATTTTTCTTCTTTTCTAGTGCAATTTTGATTCAACTTTCTTTCAACATATTCAACATATATTGTTATTGCGTGTTTAGCTATAACAAGTGGTTAATTCAGTATGTATTTAACTATTCATTTATTCATTTTAAGTATAAAAACATATACTTAGCATGATAAGATGTTCATTTTATCAAACATCTATTACAACTTATATTTCAACAGGTATGCACACATATCATGATGCTCAGGGTACAAATACTGCAATATTACGTGGTTAAGGGAAAGCCAGTTTGGATTGAGGCTGCATCAACAGGTGCTCTGGAGGGAAACAATGGTGACAGAAGATACACTACATTCAGTGGCTTCTTGTTGTACGCCAGAGCTTAACTTTGATTGATATGAGGCTAAGATTACTCCAAACAAGTGTTCTTGGCCATGTTCTGTTAGAGCTGGGAGATGTCCCAGGTTAGAGAGACAAAATTCTTGTGTAAACCTATATTCTTACAGTGATCAATTCTTACTAAATATTTTGTTAATTATTGATAAAGCTATAAAGTAAAATACTTGTCTTGAAAAAAAGTTTAATCAGAAAATAGTTTATTCAATTACTTGTTTAATTGAAACTAATTGGGGCTGGTTGCCAAGGAAATGTTTAAACAAGCTATTACAAGCTTAAAAAAAATCTCAGTTTATGGTGAGATAATTCTTGCAATATTGGTGATAGAGTTATGAACCTTGTCACATAAGATGTGGATGATGATAAGGTACATATATTTGAAGTATTAAGTTGATCCCTTTAGAAATAAATAAGTAACAGTAAAAAATGATATTTTCTAAGGGTTCAAGGGGAGATAAATCTGAAAATATTGGTACTAGAGTTATGAACCTTGTCACATTAGATGGGAATGATGACAAGGTACATATATTTGAAGTATGAGATTGATCCTTTAAGAAATAAAGAAGTAACAGTAAAAAGTAGTATTTTTTGAGGAAAATTCTAAGTTCAAGGGGAGATTAATCTGAAAATATTGGTGCTAGAGTTATGAACCTTGTCACATAAGATGGGGATGATGATAAGGTACATATGTTTGAAGTATGTGGTTGATCCCTTAATAAATAAAGAAGTAACAGTAAAAAATAGTATTTTTTAAGGAAAATTCTAAGTTCAAAAGGAGATAAATCTGAAAATATTGGTGCTAGAGTTATGAACCTTGTCACATAAGATGTGGTTGATGATAAGGAACATATATTTGAAGTTTGAAGTTGATACCTTAAGAAATGACAAAGTTATAGTGAAAAATATTTTACTGCACCAAAACTTTAATCTGAAATCTGGACGCGGACGCCGACGCCGGGGCGAGTAGGACAGCTCTCCATATACTTCGTATAGTCGAGCTAAAAGGACAA